GATAATGCTGCTTGCATCGAGCAAATGAAACTTGGATTTATCAAAGGTGATAACACCAAACATATTTCTCCCAAATTTTTCTATAATCAACAACAACAAACTCTCCTCAAGATCCAAGTAAATCAAATAAGATCTGAGGAGAATGTGGCAGATTTATTCACCAAATCATTACCTAAAGCCACATTTGAGAAACATGTTAAAAATATTGGGATGCGTAGACTTTCAGATCTTCCTTGATCATGTACACTTCAGGGGGAGATTTGAATATTCAAGGTCTAGCTTTTATTTTATGTTACACTCTTTTCCTTAAACCAAGGTTTATTTTTCCCATTGGGTTTTGTTACTTGGTAAGGTTTTTAATGAGGTAACAATATGACGAGATTTTGACAAGAGATCAAGATTCTGCAATTCTACCTACAGCTCAGCACAAGGGGGAGTGTTGAAGGAATTTGTAAATTAGTGTGCTGTTGTGTAGATAGAATTTACTTTATATTGTGTAATAAGTTGTACTGGCCTATGGGCCTTCTCTTGTAAAACCCTACGAAGCTTTTCCCTATATAAGGGAGCTATTATCAATAGAGAAAGACACATCTCCCACAACATTTAATTTTATATATAGGAGATTTTAATTTTAAAAACTTAACAATAAAATTACATTTTGATGAAGAAGAACAATATGTTGATACAATCGCTAGAGGAAGGGGTTGAAACTTCGACCTTCTGGTTAATAGCCACACGCTCTAACCAACTAAGCTACTCCAGCCTATTAGTTTGTTTTTCAAATTCCTTTCCTCATTTCAATGTAAGCTTGCCTTATACAACTGAGCTACTTGCTATTTGTTGTATTTTTCTTGTTAAATTGCCAAAATTATTCCAATGCCTTTAAGGTACAATATATACAGTGCAGCTGGTTATACAATATTTCCCTTATATTCACAGTAAGTGATCATTTACGAGTAACTCAATTCTCTTTTTTGAACAACTTAGTACTCATTTTTCTAAAATTCAGTTATGCTGGAAAAATGAATATTCAGTTACTCAAAAATAAATATTTCATCATTAAAAAATGAGTATTCATGCGAATATACATGAAACATCATACTACGAGATATATTGTATAAGTATTACTTTTAAAGCAATTGAACATAAGGAGTAAATATGTAGCATGAAATTTTGCAACAGACTTTACATTTTTTACGAATGATTTTGACGTCTCAACTTTAGCGTAAGCTTGTAGTGTGTTTTTCAAACCTCATCAGAGGTGTTAACTCTGTGCTTCAACAGTTTGAGAAGTATAAATATATACTACAATGTAATAAGGTAAGTAGTACAAACAAATTAGGTTGAAATTAGATTTAATATCACGCTCACAAAGTTGAGATATAAGATATAGAGTATTAAAACTTACATTTGTTACTAGGGTGAAAGTAAAAGCATTTGGTAAAATGAATTTCAACCAAATAAATAAGTCAAATGTCATGTTAATCTTCTTTTATTTCTTACTTTTATAAATTTTGGGATAATAAATATTAAATACATCAACTTTTTGTACATCTTGACCCCAATATTGTTGGGATACATAAGTTAGTGAATTTAATTTATTTTTTACATCTCCAACATTGTGTCATAGAAGTTGATGGGCCAATATCCAATGGGCAGCCCAAATGAATCATCCAAACAATTTGGGTCAAGCACTTGGAGGATATCAAGGCTTGGGCCGGTCCATAGGGCTAAGCCCAGTCACTTCCGGTCCAGGAACAGCTGGCAGAGTCAATCCGGAAGAGGAGACGGAACCGAATGGCGGAGACAAAGCCAGAAAAAGGGGATCGCGCCATTGACGGGATAGACTCCATTGATTATGCATTACCTTAATTGTCTAAGACTCATGTATAAATAGAAGAGACCCGAAAGGGGAGAATTCAAGCTACATCAAGCTAATAATACATACTCAATTCTCGAATTCTCGTTCTTAATTAGATTCTTACGATCCGCTTTCTGAATCGGATCATCTGGTGGATTTATTGTCCATCAAATTGGTGCTCGCGTTGAGAGTTTGAGAATCATACTCAGAGGAAATCCTCCCCAAAGACGATGGTGCAAACACGCAGCAACGCCAACATTGGTACCGGAGCTCCCCACTAGGGAGAAAACAGCGCCACTGGAGGTCGGCACCCCCCCATCACCACGGGGGAGGCAGAGGCCCTCATCTAGAGGGTCGGAATCACAGCTGAGCAATTCAAGGAGGTGCTGGAGGCACTTACACCCAATCGCAAGATTGTGGTGGAGGATATGGTTGGGGGACCCGCAGGCGGGAAGGCTGGACCCGCGGGCTCTCAAGGGAAAAAGAAGAAAGTGAGGCGGTCCCAGAAAAATAAGGCTACCAAGCCTAATGGGAAGGCTGTGATGGAAGATGCGCTCTCCAGATTGGACGAAGAGTCGTCCTCCTTCGAGCGGATGTCTGCTTTTGACCGTTTGGGAGATCCGAAGTCAAAGAAACCTCGGACCTCTGCGTTCGAACGGTTGCAGGACACTCGGTCGGCCCGAAAAGGTGACTTAAGGGACACGCTCAAGGAGAAGAGAGGGGAGTCCACAGCGACCTCCAAGATCGGTTCGGAGGAGCGACGGACGACAGTCGGGGACAAGGGCGCAGCCGAGCTGTGGAGAATGTACGAACGACTGGAGAAGCGGCTGGACGCCCAGAACCCCTACCGCCAGGCGGTCTTCAGTGAGGTAACGCCCTTCTCCAGAAGGATAATGTCTTGTCCTCTCCCGGATAATTTCAAGACTCCCCAGATCAAAGCGTACAACGGGACAACCGATCCCCAGGATCACCTCGCTCGCTTCGGGGCAAACGTGGTCATGTATGCGTACCCCGAGGAAATCAAGTGTCGGTGTTTCTTGGCGACACTGGAAGGGCAGGCTTGTGAGTGGTTCCACAAGTTACCCAAAGGTTCGATAGATAAGTGGAGCGACCTGGCCCACAAGTTCTTGGAGCATTTCGCGTCCAGCCGGAGACAAAAGCTCCCCTTCTCGCACTTGCTCAACGTGAAGATTCGAAAGGGAGAGCAGCTCCGGGAGTTCATCAATAGGTGGGAAAAGGAGGCTTGGGACGTCCAAGGGGCGGACGACCAAGCCCTGATCGCCATGCTCCAAGCTGCACTCCCCCAAGGGGATGTGCGCAAGGAGCTGCGACGGAATCCTCTCTCGACCTATCAGGAGATGTTGGCCAGGGCGAAGTACCTGGTGTTGGAAGAAGAAGATGATGAGCCACCAGCCCGGAAGGAGAAGAAAAGCGGGCCACCGGTGGCAGAAGGAAAGAAGAGGAAGGACTACGGTAAGGGGCCGAACCCCACCGGGTATCACGCGAACAGGCATCCTGTTCATGCGGTACAGTCGTTGCCTGCCCCTCCTCCCGGTCGGGAAAGTTATGGTGTGCAAGATGCACCCAAATACTGCGAGTATCACCGTAACAGCACCCACAACACGTCGGAGTGCGTTACGCTAAGGAAGGAGATGGATCAGTTGATCGCAAGGGGGCCACCTCCTCGGTCGGAGCGACCGTCCTCAAGTAACCGGACCTGGAAGAGACCGCCAGCCCCCACGGCAGCGATCACGGCAGGAGAGGGGCAGGAGGATGGACGACGGCATCTAGGAAGAGATTGTGATGATCTAGATGAGGAGGAAAGGCAAGGTCGTCGGCACCTAGGGTGTCGGTTCATCATGGGGGGAAACACTGGAGGGGATTCAGTATCTTCCCGGAAGAAGTGGAAGAACATGGTGTACCTGGCCGAGGTACAAAGGCCGCCGCTGCCTAAGCGGAAGAAGAAGGAACCTTTGATCTTTACAGACGAAGATTATCCCCTAATCCTCAGCCCTCACAGGGACGCTCTGGTGATAAAGGTGGAAATCGGTAATGTGGTTGTTCACCGGACTTTGGTCGATACGGGCAGCTCAGTCAATGTTATGTACAGCAACACCTTTAAGGAGTTGGGGTTGTCCCGAAACGACCTGAAACCGATCCATACGCCATTGTCAGGGTTCACAGGGGATACTATCGAAGCTGAAGGAACTATCACGGTGAAGGCCGGGGTAGGAGATGGCACCCACTGACTCTGGATCGACATGGAATTTATGGTAGTGCAGCTTGACTGTGCACACCATCTGATTCTGGGGCGACCAGGGTTGGAGGACCTGGAGTGCGTAATCTCCCCCGTCCACTTATGCCTAAAGTTCAATACCCCCACTGGGGTGGGGGTGGCGAAGGGGAACCAGAGCCTGTCACGGTCGTGCTACGTTAGGGCGACCAAAAGCCAGGCCCGAGTCGACGAGAATGTGAGCACGATCTCTGCGGCAATCCAGAGGGAGGATGGGCGACCTCGAGCTGAGCCGGCGGAAGAGTTGAAGAAGTTTCTTTGGACCCGATCAAGCCAGAGCGGAAGGTGAAGGTAGGTAAAACCTTACCGCTTAAATTAAAGGAGCAGTTATTGGAGGTCCTCCAAGCATTCAAGGTGTTATTCGCTTGGGGTCCAGAGGACATGCCTCGGGTCGACCCAAAAATCATCTGCCATAGATTGGCAGTGGATCCGACCCACAAGCCGGTCAAGCAGAAGAAACGTTTCCTCTCCTCAGAACGAAGAGAGTTTGTCACCAAGCAGGTGACAACCCTACAATCCATTGGGCACATCCGGGAAGCCCGCTACCTGGAATGGTTGGCAAATGTAGTCCTCGCACCCAAAGGGGATACCTGGCGGATGTGCGTCGATTACACAGATCTAAACAAAGCCTGCCCGATGGATCCTTTCCCTCTCCCCAACATTGATCAGTTGGTTGATGAGACGGCAGGGTGTGAGCTGATGAGTTTTATGGACGCATTCAGTGGGTACCATCAGATCAACATGGCCGTGGCGGATGAAGAGAAGACCGCTTTCATCACCCCCCAACGGGGTATACTGTTACAAGGTAATGCCCTTTGGTTTGAAGAATGCTGGGGCGACCTATGCACGGATGGTCAACAAACTGTTCGCGCCGGTGCTAGGGGGATGCATGGAAGCGTATGTGGACGACATGATCGTCAAGTCCCAGCGGATGGAGTCCCATGCCGGCGACCTGGAGAAAGTGTTCAAGATCATGAAGAAGTTCTAGCTTCGCCTTAACCCTAAGAAATGTACATTTGGGGTTCAGGGGGGCAAGTTCCTAGGACACATGGTCAGCCGGAGAGGGATTGAGCCTAATCCGGAGAAAGTAAAGGCAATCTTAGAGATGGAACCTCCGCGGAATGTGAAGGAGGTCCAGCAGCTGACCGGCAGGATTGCTGCTCTCAGTCGCTTTTTGTCAAAAATAGCTGATCGAGCGGCTCCTTTCTTTCAGACCATTAAGAAGAGCAGAGGGTTTGTCTGGACCGAAGAATGTGAATGGTCCTTTGAAGGGTTGAAAGCATACCTCCTCTCCCCACTGGTACTTTCGAAGCCAGAGCCCGGAGAGATCCTATTCCTATACTTAGGAATCTCTCCTCGAGCTGTGAGCTCGGTGCTTGTGAGGGAGGAGGAGGGCATACATCGACCTGTGTACTATGTGGCCCGGGTGTTGCGAGGGGCGGAGCTAAGGTACACGAACATGGAAAAAACTATCTTCGCGGTGGTATGCACGGTGAAAAAGCTCACCCCATATTTTCAAGCCCATCCGGTCCATGTGTTATCTCAAATCCCTATCGGAACACTTCTCCGAAGCCCAAATGCCCCATCACGGGTCAACAAGTGGGGAGTGTTCCTGGGATCTTTTCAGATAGAGTTTAAGCCACGACCGGTGATAAAGGGGCAGGCGTTGGCAGATTTCGTGGTAGAATGCACAGCAAGAGAGGTGGAGTCTAGTGGAGAAGAACCCGAAGGGAGTTGGTGGACTGTGTACACTGATGGTTCGTCCGCGACTGATGCTTCCGGGGGAGGCGTCGTGGCGATATCACCAGAAGGGTTCAAAGCATACTACTCCGTTAGATTCCGGTTTAAAGTCTCGAACAATGAGGCTGAATACGAGGCGCTGCTTTGCGGTTTGAGGCTAGCAGCTTCATTAAAAGCTGAACGAATTCAAGTCCAGTGCGATTCCAAGCTAATAGTAGGTCATGTCACTGGAGAGTTTGAGGCCAAGGATGAGCGAATGAAGAAGTATAGAGACATCGCCCTGGAATTGCTCAAAGCGTTTGGAGCGTACCGGATAGAGCATGTACATCGAGAAGAGAATGCTGAGGCGGACATCTTGTCAAAGCTTGGCCCGGATTCCCCAGGTCATATCAAGGCAATGACCCAGGAAGAAGAATTGCTCGAACCAAGAATCAGTCTCGGACAAGTGTTGGTCATCACACTCAAGGAGCCAGCGGATTGGATCGATGAGATTACCATGTACCTCCTTGACGGGTCGCTACCTACCGACCCAATCACAGCAAAAGTGGTAAAACGACGTGCACCCAGCTACACGCTGGAGTGCGGTCGGCTGTACAAGCGGTCGTACAATGGTACATTGTTGAGATGCTTAAGAGCGGAAGAAGCGCAGAAGTTAATGGAGGAAATCCATGAAGGGATATGCTCAGCGCATCAGGGAGCCTTCACCATGTCCAGGAAGGTAACACTGCAAGGATACTTTTGGCCAACGATTATCAGAGATTGTGCAGAATACGTGCGGAGATGCAAGGTTTGCCAGGAATTCCAAAGGATGCCGGGGCGACCGGAAATGGCTAAGTCAAAAGAAGCGAGGTATTCTCTGATTTAAGTTTGAGGAAACCTGAACGTCTAAAGTGGGATGCGAAAGAGAAGAAGGTGAAACTTGTAAGTAAATAGGTAACATCAGAATACGTTCACAAAAATGTTCATTACATTTCAAGGATAATCTCTTGCATCTGCTACAATACAGTTGAGAACAATCTCTACATAGGGAGGGATACCTTCCCATACATCTCTTACAATGAAAAAGAACAATCTAAAACTTTGCGAGCAAAAGGTCTAGGGGGGACAGGCAGGTTTGAAGGGTAGTTCTGCAGCTGTACAGGCCGGCAGAACTCCGATCACCGGCCGTCCAGGACGACCACCTCTCTTCCCCATCATGGAACGGGATTGGTCGCCCCCAGCCTCGGCAAAAACCCGCCGCCCTTCTCCTATCAAGGAAGGACGGGGGACGGCTCACTTTTCCGTGAACCCCAACCAGCATCACCTAGATGAGGATGGAGATCCTGAAGCCGCTCGAGCTACTCCAGGTCGCCTAGGGGTCTTCCGGGGAGGTGAGCGGCAAGCAGGGCGAGGTAGGGAAGGACCCAGTTCTTCCCCCAACACAACCTCCTCCTTAGGCCTCACCGGCGAATTGGTGTGACTTTCGCTAGTCCATCGTTCAAGACTTGCGTAATATGTGCACTCATGCTCCAGGAGGGGTAAGTGCTCATCGTGGAAGCTCTCCCAGGCCATGCATTGCAGGGAATGGAGGGGGCATGGGGCATCCCAATCAATCCGCCCGTCAGGCAGGCGGTTGGCGGAGAGGGCCTTGTACGCCTCACTGAAATCTTTGTAAGGGTTTGGCGGTAGTGGCGGCGGTTTCACCGACGGCCACTGCCGGCGAAGCAACCGGAGACAGAATTCGTAAGGGTCTAGCCCCCCCCCCAGTCATTGGAATTGACTGACTATGGGGAGGAGGCAGGCTCCGACGAAGAAGGAGCCGGCCCGTCGAAAAGATTCAGAGAAATAGGGAGTCCTTCAGACATGACAATGATGGAGAAAGGGAAAATATTTGGTGATGGAACAAAATGAAGGTTAGGGGGGCTTATAAATAAGCCCAGGTGAAGAAACCGGAGAGACGGTCAAGTCCCAAGGCAGCTGAACCGATAAAGCAGCTTTGAGCCGCGCGAAGGTCCAATCAGAGACTGCAAGGGGCATTGGGACAATTGGACGACACGTTGGTCAATCTTGAGATTGGGCCTGGTCAGGTAATCGGGCCGGGATTAGAAGTTGGGCCCTAACGAAAACGTCCATGTTAACCAGCTAAATTAAAAAAGAGAGTGCTGAAGTGAAACGCCGAAAAAAGAAAGCACATGGTGAATCCAGAAAATCAGACAACATAGGAGCATTGTATCAAAACGACAAATCATTCCGAAAAAAAAGAGGCAAGTGTTTATAAAGCTGTGGGGGAACAACAGGGGAGTTCAGACGGTCGAGCCGGAATGTCCACCCGCTTTGGACGTGGCTAAGCTGGCCCCTGGATTCTGGTCGCTCAGTCCACCTTCCTCTTCTTCTTCTTCCTCTTCTTCAGACGCGCTTGAGCTCCTTCCGTCCAAGTAAGGGCTGGGGTCGAACTCGGCCAAGGAACGGCAAGGAGGGGGAAAGCCGAGGTCGGGGAGAGAGAATCCTTTGGGGAGCTGAGCCAGTCTGTCGCGGAAGACCTGTTGAGCGCGGAAGAGTCCACAATTGAAGGACTTGGTCCCCTCCTTGACCATCCATTGAGCCCCAGGTTCAGTTTTGAGCCAAGCGGCTGTTAGCTCTTCCATCCGCTCCATCGCGACCATCGTGAAGTCAGGAGAAGACTTGAAGGATTCTACCGCTTCTTCTGCATGGCGGACCCGGTCGCTCCTCTCCACTTCCAACTGCTGGATCAGATCAGACTTCTCCCCTTCCAGCTCGACCACGCGAGCAGAAACAGATTCTACCTCCAAGGACAAGGAGGCCTTGTCTGCCTCGAGGGCGACGCAGCGGTTCTCCTGGGAAGTTTTCTCCGCAGCAAGCGCCGCGCAGCGATTTACCTTCTCCCCCAGCTCTCTTATGAGTCAGGCGACCTCCTCCTGCAATTCCTTCTGCCTGGCGTCCGATGTCTTCAACGCCTCGCCCAAGGCAGCTTGGTGACCCCGTCTCCTACCAACCACCTCGATCATCCCCAGCGTGGCCTGCACCAAGGCATGGGGGTTAAGAACGTAAAAAAAAGGAGGAGGGCAGAGAGAATCAGTGCAAGTACCTGGCTTAGCCTCAAGAGGACCATGTTATCAAGGTCGTCCTCAGAACCGGCCGAGATGCGGGCTTGGTCCTCCGCGGGCAGGGTGATCAGGGTCTCCAGTTGCACGTCTCCTAAGCTTTGGGGCAGAGGAGGAATGCAAAGCCTCGTCGAGCGACCCCCGATCGCCACCTCGTAGGTCACCGCGGGACGCAAAGGAGGTCGCTCCGAGGCAACACCTTGTGACGACCCAGCGAGGTCGCCACCCGGCCTCACAGAGTGAGGAGGGGAATGGCCCGTCATTGTACCCGTTTCCAGGGTAGCATCATCTTGGTCCTCCACTACAATTACAGCCGGCTCTCAGGAAGGACTCTCCCCGTGGTGGAACGAAGAGCGTTTGCCCTGGCCCTTCGTCTCTCTCTTCCTCTTCCTCCCCGCAGTGAAGCGGCTGAGTAGGAGATTGTCGTCCATCTCTTCTCCTGAATCTTGTAATTCCACTGGAAAACAAAGGAAATGGTCAGCCTTGGAAAAAGATAAACTAAACATCCGGGCAAAAGAAAAGGTCAATTACCAAAAGGACCACAGTCAAGACCTTCCTCAAGAATGTCCTTCAGCTGGTCAGGCTGATGCCCCCCGGGAATGTCCCTCAGTAGGTCGGGTTGGTGACGAAGCTCATCCTGAACAAACTCAAACCCCAACCCGGCAAGGGTTTCCTCTGTCACCACCTCTTTGATGTTCATAACTCCCTTATTGCAGAGTTGGCGAGTGATGGACAAAAGGGTGGCATCGGGGGGGCATGGGATGCGGCGGAAGGAAAGGCGCCCTGAACCCGTGAAAGGAGATTCGGGCCCCGTCGAGACGAAAACGAAGAAGGGTTTCCAGTCTTTGGTTGACCCCTTCATGTCACTAGCAAAGAGCTTACTGGACCTCTGGGAAAGGCTGGCATAGGACGCCCAATCCTTATGACCCTTGGTCAGCTTGAAAGTAAATAGGAAATGGTCCAAAGTTGGTTTCACCCCTACAACCTTGCACCAGACCAAATAACCGGCGATGTACCGGTGAGAGTTGGGGACCAACTGACACGGAAGAAGGTCCACCACGTTGAGGAATTCAATCAAAAGCGGGTGGAGTGGGAAGCGCAGCCCCTTCTTCAAAGACGCCAGATGGACCGTGAAGAACCCTGAAGGGGCGTCCAGGGCGGTTTGGGTGCTGGTAGGTCTCATGACTTCAATGGAAGGTCCGACCATGTCAGTAGCATCGGCGAACCCCCGGTCAGTAATCTGGCAATGGCACAGCGCCATGATGTTTTCGTCCAATCCAACCCTCGAGCCCTCATCTACCGGGGTTGAGGAGGGGAATTGCTTCCTCAATCGACGCCGTTTATGGCCAGACACGGCCGACGGTGACGGCTGGGGTGATTGAGTGTGGTCGGGGTTACGGCCAGAGGCCGATTGATCGGCTTGGCGAGAATTGGACGATGGGGTAGCCGAATCGGAATCTGAAACAATCATGGCGGCGAGAAAAGGAACTGACCTGGAAAGGAAGAAGAACGGGTCGGGTAGCAGCGGAATTGCAGACGAATGATGGTGAAGAAAGCGAAAGAAAGAGATGGCGTCCGGCGGCGGTTTTTAACTGACACTGGGGAGGCGAAGCGGCAGGTCATGATTACCTATTCGTGGATATCGTGTCCAAGTGTCACGCGGAGCCCAAGAAACGGCCCGGATCCGCGCTGGAGCGCCCACGTGGACTTTGTAAACTCCCCATTCCTCAACTGGGCCCAGTCGAGGATTGAGGAGTTGGGGGGCTTATGATGGGCCAATATCCAATGGGCGGCCCAAATGAATCATCCAAACAATTTGGGTCAAGCACTTGGAGGATATCAAGGCTTGGGCCGGTCCATAGGGCTAAGCCCAGTCACTTCCGGTCCAGGAACAGCTGGCAGAGTCAATCCGGAAGAGGAGACGGAACCGAATGGCGGAGACGAAGCCGGAAAAAGGGGATCGCGCCATTGACGAGATAGACTCCATTGATTATGCATTACCTTAATTGTCTAAGACTCATGTATAAATAGAAGAGACCCGAAAGGGGAGAATTCAAGCTGCATCAAGCTAATAATACATACTCAATTCTCGAATTCTCGTTCTTAATTAGATTCTTACGATCCGCTTTCTGAATCGGACCATCTGGTGGATTTATTGTCCATCAGAAGTTATACCAATTTTTCTTGCAAATAATTACAGAAACTCCCATTATTGACCCCTCCAAACTACTCTCAAGTTCAGGAACTCATTATCAACAACTCTACTTTTTAGGAACACTTTAGAGCTATGAAGCTTGGCAGTTGGCACTGACTACTTATTTTTTTCTTTTAAATACCAATAGCTTTGCTTTTAGAATTCGATTCCTACGCTTGCCAATGTGCTACTTCTTCCTCTGTTTAGTTGATGGATGTGTATGTTTTAGTGCGTGAATCCTATTTTATATTAGAGCAATGCTAGGGCTACACCAAAGGTGTACCCCAAATGTACACCACCCCTTTCTCCACCACCCATTTTTATTTTATTTTTATTTATTTATTTATTTATTTATTGAATTTCTTGCCTTTTTTGTGGACAAGGAAGGGGTGGGGGACAAATGGTGTAGAAACTAGAACAGAACTTGATGTTTTTCCCATTCATGACAAGGGATAATATATGGATAAAGCTATTTGTACCCCATGTTTCGTACCCCACTTTGTACCCCGTAGCTTTGCACCAACACTTTGTGTTGGTGTAAAACTAATTTTTGTTAATGCACCAACACTTTGTGTCAGTGTAAATTTTCATTAACGCACCAACACTTGTGTCGGTGTAAACCATCAAAACATTTGTGTATAACTGTGGTGTACAAATGGGGTACAATTTGTGGTGTAAGTGTAGCGTAACCCATAATATATACATGAATGAATAAGCAATCGGCCCAACACTAATGGCCCAATATGTGAGAAATATACAAATAGTGCATACATACATACATATATATATTTATGGAAAAAGCTTCAGATTTGTGGAGCGAATTGAAGGCTCGTTTCTCTATGGTTAATGGATCGAGGGTCCAGCAGTTGAAGCGAGATTTGGCAGAATGCAAACAGAAGAATCTTTCCATAATGGAATATTATGGAAAGATGAAGAAGCTGTGGGACGGCTTAACAGATTTGGAGCGTTTTCCAACTTGCACGTGTAGGAATTGCACGTGTGATTTGCCGGAGAAGCTTACACAAATGCGTGAGATGGGACGCTCTCTTCAATTTTTCATGGGTTTGAACGATGCTTTGTATGTAACCTTGCGGTGAAATTTGTTGGCCCAAGAGACCATACCACCAGTGGCAAGAATATACAATATTCTTGTCTAAGACGAGACAGCACGAAATGGTATGCACAATATATATATATATATATATATATATATATATATATATATATATATATATATATATCTTAACACTACCCCTCAAGTTCAAGCATGTATGTCAAAAATGACCAACTTGGATAATAAAGACTGAAATAAAAGACCGGGAAGCGCCTTTGTAAATAAATCAGCTGTCTGTAGATGCGTGGGGACATAAGCTGTGACAATGTGATGACGCTGAAGACATTCATGAACAATGTGACAATCTATATCAATATGTTTAGAGCGTTCGTGGAATACAGGATTGGCAGCAATAAACAGGGCAAATTTGTTGTCACAGTATAACCTCGGAGTAGCAACACAAGGAACGTCCAGAGCAGCGAGAAGCCCACGCAGCCATCGTATCTCGGTGCATGCATTAACCATTGCCCTATACTCAGCCTCAGCGGAAGATCGAGAAATAGTAGTTTGCTTTTTAGTACGCCAAGAGACAGGAGAACCACCAAGGAAAATAAAGTAACCTGTGACAGATCGACGAGTAAGAGGGCAACTGGCCCAGTCTGAGTCTGAAAAGGCGGTCAAAGCAATATTACTATCACTACGTAACAAAATCCCCTGACCAGGGTGGCCCTTCAGATAACGCAGCACCCGTAATGCGGCATTCTAATGATCCAGCCGAGGTGCCTGCATGAACTGAGAGAGTACATGGACTACATAACAAATATCCGGACGAGTGATGGTCAAATATAAGAGACGACCCACAAGACGACGATACTTCGTAGGATCCCGAATCTCAGCACTGGTGGAGCGTGCTAGGTGATGATTAGTCGGCAAAGGAGTATCAACGGGTTTACAACCCGCTAAATTTGCTTCTTGAATAATATCCATGGCATACTTACATTGATTTAAAACCATACCAGTACACTCAATACCCAGAAAATAAGAGACAGGTCCAAGATCTTTGAGATGAAAACAAGCATCCAAGTAATTCTTCAAGGAGGAACAGAGTGTGGCATTATTTCCTGTAAAAAGAATGTCATCAACATAAACCAATACAACCATCATATCTGGGCCCTTACGAAAAACAAACAGAGTGTGATCGGCATGGGCCTGCCGAAAACCATATCGTCGTAATGCTGTCTGGAGTTTGGTAAACCAGTTGCGAGGAGATTGGCGAAGACCGTAAAGAGACTTCCGTAGGCGACAAACTTTACTAGGATACAAGTGGGCATACCCAGGAGGAAGCTTCATATAGATTTCATCCTCAAGATCCCCATGCAAAAAGGCATTATTAACATCCAGCTGATCCACCTGCCAACCCCTAGCAACAGCAACAGATAATAAAACACGAATTGTGGCTAACTTAGCCACTGGAGCAAAAGTATCAGTGAAATCAACGCCAAACTTCTGGTGATTACCCAACACAACTAACAGTGCTTTGTCCCTTTCTTTGGTTCCATCAGATCGATATTTAGTTCTGTACACCCACTGACAACCCAGAGCTTTTCGGTCTGGAGGAAGATCGCAAATGGCCCAAGTATGATTACGCTCCAGAGCAGAGAATTCCTGCGCCATCGCTTCACGCCACGAAGCATGTTGAACGGCTTCACGGTAATGGCGAGGGACCGAAGAAGCATCAATGGCACCAAGAAAGCCTTTGTACCTGTCATTTAACCTGTTATAATGAACAAAGTTGGTAAGAGGAAACCTTGTACCTGATGAAGACGAACAGGGTGAAGAAGAGACGGGAGTGATAGTCTTTACATAATCATTTAGATGAAACGGTAAACGAGGAGTTCGAGGAGGAAGGGGAGGGGGGTAATTGGCGGAGAAGTGGTCTCCACGGAGGAACTCGTCGGGCTGGACTCTGACGATGAGAGGGACGAACTAGATGACAAAGTGGAGGACTGAGGAGAAGTACTGGAATCAGCCGAAGAGGAAGCAGTATGGGAAGGAGTAGGTGATTCGGCCATGCTCTCAAGAGTAGGAGGAACCGGTGTAGTTGGACGTGGGACAACTGGAAAATCCTCTGAGGATGGAACGGAAAGGGGTTGTGGGATGTTTGAGCAGGTAGGTGTAGCAAACGGGAAGTGGGTTTCGTCAAACGTAACATCCCGAGTGTGAAAAAATTGGTGTGTCTCCAACCTTTCGTGCCGTAGGGATAGCCAACAAACATACATTTCACACTCCACGGAGAAAATTTATGTATGGGTTTTTGACAAACAAAACACAAACACCCAAAGACACGAAGATGACTCAAGTCTTGAGGTTTGGAAGACAAAATTTGAAGAGGAGATTTACCACCAAGAAGTTTTGTAGGAGTACGGTTAATAAGATAAACAGCAGTTTTGACACATCCCCCCCAAAATTCAATAGGTAGTGAGGCTTGAAACATAAGTGACCGAGCCACATTTAAAATGTGACGGTGTTTTCGTTCAACCCGGCCATTTTGTTGTGGTGTACCGACACAAAAGGTTTGAATGCACACACCCAAAGAATCATAATATTGTCGTAAAGATGCATTGAGAAATTCAGTGCCATTATTCGACCGAACCACCTTAATTGTTTTGGAAAATTGAGTATGAATCATGGAAAAGAAACGCTTGAGACAAGATGTGACCTCACCTTTGGTTTTGATGAGGTAAACCCAAACAGCACGAGAGAAGTCATCAACTATAGTGAAAAAGTAATGTGCACCAGATGATATACAAGCAGAATATGGCCCCCACAGATCACAATGAATTAAATCAAAAATAGCAACCGCTTTATTATTACTGACGGGAAATGAGGAACGAGTTTGTTTAGAAAAGAAACAGCCTGAATACAGGATCCAATAGGAAGACAAATAGAGTGAGGAGAAATATCCTCGAGATTAAACAAATGTGATAAAATTCCAGTCATATGATGTGAGGCTCCACTATCAATTAACCAATCACAAAATGTAGAAGTCATACCATTCATTTGTTTGGACGAAGAGGAATCAATCAGAGACATTAACCAAACCATTTTATCCCCATTCAATTTGGTGGCCATGGTAGTTTTTTTTGGTTCGGCGAAGCACTGGAGTACTGGACAGATCTAACTTCACAAAAATTGAAGAGCAGAACCAGCGGACAATCTTCAAAAATCGAAGAGGAGAATCGGCGGATGAACTTCGACGGACTTCACATGTGGACGGCCTTCGCTGGGAAAAAGCGATCGGCGAACTTCGGCGGACTTCACAGGTGGACGGCCTTCGCTGGAAAACAGCGATCAGCGGACGAAGGAAACAGAACCGGCGGAGGAACTTCTGGCGATGGATCCCCTCGTGCGATTTCTTGAATCTGCGGGCGAAGGGAACAGAACCGGCGGATGAAAACACAGACGAAGAGATACGATTTGAATTTCCGGCGGACTGAATTTAAACAATCAAATCTGGTGATGCCAGCGATAGGTCAGTCCAGCGACGGAGACACATGATGGGAACGGAACGGGACGGCGGATAGGAAAATCCCAAGAAAGTGCTCCGATACCATGTAGAAACTAGAACAGAACTTGATGTTTTTCCCATTCATGACAAGGGATAATATATACATGAATGAATAAGCAACCGGCCCAACACTAATGGCCCAATATGTGAGAAATATACAAATATATATATATATATATATATATATATATATATATATATATATATATATATATATATATATATATATATATATATATATGTTCTAGTGAGAATGCAATTTTAGGAGAAAAATGAGAATGAATCTGGTGCTTTAGATTGTGATATCTAAGGGTCAAGATTTCATCAAAATTAGATGCATCAAAATGGTGCGAAAATGCATCACGTCGAAATGCACCATAAACCTTCGAAAATGCACTATCTCAAAATCTGAGCGCAGGATGCAATCTGAGCCGCACGATGCATCAGATCCGACGGTTAGATTTTATTCTCATTTCTCTCCACAAGGTGCATTCTCACGGGAGCCAGCCCCTATATATATATATATACATATATATATATATATATACATATATATATATATATACATATATATACATATATATATATATAATATATATACATATATAATATATATATATATACATATATAATATATATATATATATATATACATATATATAATATATATATATATACATATAATATATATATATATATATATATATATATATATACATATAGGGATTAACTGTAGTGAGATGACACCTTATGGTGCGATGACATGCTTCGGTCAGATGACGCAAAGCTCGCCACTGCTCACTACAAAGCTCACCAAGCACAACTACAAAGCTCACCAAACTGTAAGGCAAAGCTCACCATATTTTTTTCAACACTTTGAATTTTTTTTGAAAAAATAAAATCAAAGGAAGGGGTGCTGAGTAGACTTTGACCGTTGACTCCAGCATTGACCGCCGCCTGCCGCCGCCAGTCGCCGCCGCCGGTCGCCGCTGCTGCCGCCGGTCTCCGGCCGCCGCCGCCGCCGGTCATTGCCGCTGCTCCGCCACCTGCAGCCGCCGTTGACCGGTGGTTGACCGGTGTTGCTATTTTATTTTTAATTAATTTTTTAATTTTCAAAATTAAAAAAAAGGTGAGTTTTGGGGTTCAAAGTGGTGAGCTTTGCATTATCCATTGGTGAGCTTTGTAGTGTAGTGTGGTGAGCCTTGCGTCATCTGATCGCAGCATGTCATCGCACCGTAAGGTGTCATCTCACTGTAGTCAATCCTATATATATATATATATTAGCCCGAAAACTCCACCAAAGTCAGTGGGGTAAGGTCCAGGCCGCCCTTACCAATATCATTAAAGTCGAGTAAGTACACGTTCGGGGAGGACTAGACCAGTGCCCCGAAAGTAAGAAAGAATACGAGTTCGGGGAGGACTATACCGAAGCCCCGAAAGCAAAAGCCAAAAACAACAAAATAATATATATATATATATATATATATATATATATATATATATATATATAGATATATAGATTTTGGTTCTGGTGAGAATGCAATCTTAGGAGAGAAATGAGAATGAATCTGGTGCTTTAGATTGTGAGATCTAAGGGTCAAGATTTCATCAAAATTAGATGCACCAAAATGGTTCGAAAATGCATCACGTTGAAATGCACCATAAACCTTCGAAAATGCACTATCTCAAAATCTGAGCGCAGGATGCAATCTGCGCACGATGCATCAGATCCGACGGCTGGATTTTATTCTCATTTCTCTCCACAAGGTGCATTCTCACAGGAACTGGCCCCTATATATATATATATATATATATATATATATTTATTTATTTATTTATTTATTTATTTATTTATTTATTTATTAATTTATTTATATTTAATTATTTATTAAAAATGTTTGAACCACTGGTTCAACCACTCGAACCACTGGTTCGACCAGTAAACCAGTGAACCAGTGCCTTGACCGGTTCGAGCACCGGTTCTCCCAAATTTAAAACCGTTTTATTCACTTTGTGAGATATAGGGCACAAATTGTTGGGTTTGTGGATGTTTGGGCTTGACTTGTTGGCCCAGTCCGTGTTATGTAACCCTAGTTTCTTTTCTCCTATATATTGAGCCCTTGTATTTGTATTCGTTTCTCGCGGATATTTGTGTGTGTTGTGCGTGTAATTTTCCAACAAGTAGTATCAGAGCCAAGTTGTTCAACACGAGTATTGTGGGAAAAAATTGTCACCTAGGGTTCTTGAGAAAAGAACCGTTTCGGTCAACCTTGCCAAGATCGGAGGAGGCCAATACCGTAAATCACCATCCGCCGCCACCGCTAGCCGCGTGCAGAGGAGCCGTTGCGTCAGAATCGCGCAGGTCTGAGCCGTTGAGGGAGAGTTGCTCTGATAGACCTGCCGCCGCCATCGATAGCAGATCCAGAGCCGTCGCTGTCCTCAGTTGACGCCGCTGATTCGAGGAAGTCGCCTCCGTGGAGAAGGTGCAACCGCTGATCCAGTTGCCGTCGAGCCGCTGCCAGCCCGAGGCAGATCCGTCCAGTGGGTACCCTCGACGTCCGCAAATTGTCGCTGTTTAGATCGAGCGGCAAATCAGTTGCGAGGAGCGACGCCGACCAGAGCCCTGTCGTGCACCGATGCCGTCCCGTTCGAGAAGCTGCTGTCCAGATTCGGAGCCGCCATTAGTCGCGCAGCCTAGGTCCAGTTTTTTTTTTTTTTTGCAGCTGCCAATTGGATCTTTGCAAAAAGAAGAATTGAAAAAAGGGGTTTTTTCCTTTTGGCCTTCGGCAGAAAGAAAGGAAAAGAAAAGGTTGGGCTGTGTGTGTTTTTTTTTGGATTTTGGGCCGATTTGGTTTGGACATATTTAATTGGTGTGGTGGGCCTGATTTTCTGACGAAAAAAATACCAAGATCTGAAATTAGTTGTACTGAGTATCTCGTCTAGTCGTTTGAGATGGAAGAAGATGGGAAGTTCCGAATTGAGAAGTTCGATGGTACAGATTTCAGTTGGTGGAAGATGCAAATTGAAGATTTGCTGGTTCAGAAAGATTTGGATGTGGTATTGGGTGACAAGCCAGAAAAGATGTCATATGCAGATTGGGCAGGTTTGGATTGGAAAGCAGTGTCCGTGATTTGTCTCTCGTTGACCAAGAATGTTGCGTTCAACATTCTGAAAGAGAAGACAGCGAAAGGCATTATGGAAGCGCTGTCTAACATGTACGAGAAGCCATCTGCGGCAAACAAAGTGTTTCTGATTAGAGAATTGGTGAATACAAGGATGAAAAATGGAACTTCAGTTACCGAGCATATCAACAAGTTGAATTCGATCTTAGCCAGACTTTTGTCAGTGGGTATTAAGTTCGATGATGAAGTTCAAGCTTTACTACTGTTATCGTCATTGCCTGACAGTTGGTCCGGAACTGTTACAGCAGTTACCAATTCAGTAGGACCTGACGGATTCATATTTGAGAAGATTCGTGACCTCGTTCTTGGCGAAGATGTCAGAAGAAGGAGTTCTGGTGAGTCTTCAGAAGAATCACTAAATATCGTCAGAGGCAGAAGAAATAACAGAGGTAGTGGGAGTAAGAACAGACAAAGGAGTCAATCGAAGACTCGGGATAGCTCAGGCGTAGCATGCTGGAAGTGCAAGGAGGTGAGGCATTTCAGGAATCAGTGCCCGAAAGAGGATAAACAAGTGAACATTGCTAGAGGCTCTGCAAACGACGAGGATTTGTTTATCTGCTGTGCGGAGAGTAGTGTGGATACCTGGGTCATGGATTCTGGTGCTTCATTTCATGCTACCCACAGCGGTGAAACATTGCAGAATCTGGTTGTTGGAGACTTTGGAAAGGTACAACTAGCGGACGACAAAGCTCTTGATGTGATGGGCATGGGTGACATAGTGCTGAAGACCCCAGTCGGTTTCTAGACTTTGAAGGATGTCAGAGTTGTTCCAGCCATGAAGAAAAGTTTGATTTCTGTCAAACAGTTGGACGAACAGGGACACGAGGTGAAGTTCGAAAACGAGCAGTGGAAAGTCGTAAAGGGAAATCTTGGCATGGCCCGCGGAAGGAAGAGTGGTTCGTTGTATATGGTCGAGTTACCATCTGAGGGAGTGACCGTCCCAGTTCAGAAGAGAAACAAAGTTCGGTTCACAGAGTCTCGTGGGCAGAATAAGGTTGTCTATGCAGGAGAGAAACCTAGAGTCACAGGTCAGACTCAGGATGAACGAGTGAGGAAAGGTTCAACGAGGCCAGTCAGAGGTATTTGTGGCAGTGGGAGCTCAAGAGGCGCTTCAGTAAAGTTTCCTATAAGACAGTGGGTCAGGCAAACCAGTATTTCAGCTGTTGGAATATCTCTTGAAAATTTCTTGCTCGGTATGGAGAGTGTTTGTTCTCAGGATGTTCCAGGATCCGGCAGTGTGCGACTGTAGTGGGAGCCGGTAGGGACCGAGGACGAGTCAGGGGCAGATTTACCCGTGACTGATGTGTTGGAGCTTGGGAGAGCTTCAACGGGCCTTTCAGTTGTCTAATGAGAGGGCCGCTGCAACAGGAGAGCTGAGGAAGATTACTCGACGTACAAGTAATCATAGTGGATGGCAGTTGATGACTATCAAGTCTCCAAGTGGGAGAATGTTGGGTTTGTGGAGGCTTGGGCTTGACTTGTTGGCCCGGTCCGTGTTATGTAACCCTAGTTTCTTTTCTCCTATATATTGAGCCCTTGTACTTGTAATTCCGTGAGACACCACAAGTGAAATAAGAAATTCCTCTTGTTGCAGCCGTGGATTAGGAAAACCGAACCACGTTAAATTCTTGTGTGTCGTTTGTGTTCCGTTTCTCTCGTTTCTCGCATATATTTGTGTGTGTTGTGCGTGTAATTTTCCAACACAAATGTCACAAATAGTAAGATTGTGTATTTTGTGACATTTGTACTTGTGTTATACCATTTTTGGCTATTAGTGCAGGTTTTATCTTAATGGATTTTTAGTCTTTGTATTTTTTAAGAGGAGAGAGGACACTAGAGGGAGCTTTGGTTCTTTGTTGCGAAACATTGGTAACATCTCTACTATACTAAATTCACCCGTTTTTGGAACTAAAAGTATAACTATATTTGTGGAAGTACATAGTTGGTGTTTGGGGGCATGTTTGGGGTCTTTTAAAAGTCTATAGCATGTGGCTTGAGCTCAAAGGACTACAAGATTGCATTTAGACTTATATACCACCCTGTTGATGCCGCTGCTAGAAGATTATTTTTGGAATTTTGTTGTAATCTACATTATCGTGCAAAAGTTATTGGCTATCAATTTATCTACAAGGATGATTTGGCAAACAAATTTTTTAAGGAGAGATGGAGTGATGTCTTTTGAAACTTTGTTTTTAGTTGTTTAAGCCTTGATGAATTTATCTTCGGTCACTTACTTTTTTAGTTTTACTGTATGATCATTATTTGTGTTGGGTATTGGGTTTTAATTTTTTGTGTGTGTATATAAAATCAACAATTTGATGTGAATTATTGAAACTATGTTAGTTCCACATATTTCAAGCGTGTTCATGGAAGTAATTGTATCCTTGAGAAGTGGAAACACATTTTTAGTCATTGATACATTATTAGATGTTCTTGAGACTTATGCCTCTATTTTTTATTTGCTGAATCTAAGCAACAACACAACACAACAACAATCCAGTTGAATCGCACTACAGTAGGGTCTGGGGAGGGTGTGTGTACGCAGACCTTGCCCCTACTCGAAAGTAGGGAGGCTGTTTCCAAAAGACCCCTAGCTCCAACTGCACAAAAAATATGATAGGAATCACAGTATAACACAGATAAAGCACCAAGTACAATGGAAAGAAAGTCCTGCAAGCAATAGCAAAAGATTACAACCAAACAAAACACACTACAAAAAACCTCTGACGCACCGGGCCCCTATCTAGCTACTCTAATCCTAGTTCTCCAAAGGTTCCTATCTAAAGCCATATCCTCAGTCAGGATGAGAAGTCCTAAATCCTGCCTAATCACCTCCTTCCAATTCTTCCTAGGTCTACCCCTTCCCCTACTTTCCCCGACAACCGTAATCCTCTCGCATCTCCGTACGGGGGCGTCAGCATTCCGCCGTCTCACATGACCAAACCATCTCAACCTCGCTTCCCGCAGCTTATCTTCCACCGGCGCCATGCCTACCTGACGCCGGATAACTTCGTTCGAAATCCTATCCAACCCTGTCTTCCCACACATCCATTGTAACATCCGCATCTCCGCCGCATGCAGACGACGCACATGAGTCTTCTTAACCGCCCAACACTCTGCCCCATATAACATAGCAGATCTGACTACGGACTGGTAGAACTTACCTTTCATCCTGGGCGAAATCTTTGGGTCACACAACACTCCTGAATCTGAGCGAGATAACATTTTTGTTATGGAAGAAATGCTACTCTAATGGTACTCTTGATAGGCATACTATTTTCTAAAGTGGTTTTCTTACTTTTTATTAACTCAATTATTTATGGAGTGTTTTTCATAATAAACATGCAACTAAAAAATCTCTAATACCAAGTAACTTTCTTATATTTAAAGATTTATAAATATTATGAAAGTAAAAATGATATAAGTAATTCGGGATGGAGAAATTATATATCATGTTGAATTTATATATTTTAATCCATTTTTATACTACCTCCGTCCCAGAGTATTTGTCCACTTTCATTTTTACACACCATCTAATACACTTCTTTAATCCATTTTATCTTGTAATTTGTATATTAAAAAATTATAGAAATTATATACTAATAATCTATATGTTAAGACAAATCAAACAAGATCACACATGACTATATTTAGGCTTACACATTGAGAGAATTTGATGAATCAAAGTGTTTAGATGAACAGTTCCAAAAGTCAAAACTGGACGAATACTCCGGGGCGGAGGGAGTATTTTACATTTTGAAATAAATTACTTATCGTGGAACACAAGGGTAAAATATTATCATTTGTTAAATTATTTTTTTCAAATCAATATTTACTCATAATTAACTTTTTGTTGTTTTGCGAGTGAAAGAAAGACATAATTGAACGTATTACTTTTAGATGAGAAAGGTAATCTTTGCAACTTCACCAAAAATGTGGTGCATCTCGAAGTTTTTCATAAGATTTGGATCTAAATTATTCATTGACATGTTCCTTTCAATGTATATATAGATGAATTTTCATTACCAAATGTTTATGGTATATCATTCCTTAGATTCTAGGGATCCATACAATATTTTGCTCGCTTTTTGAATCAGTAACTAACTAGGAAGAAAAAAGTTACTCCGTAAAATACTAGTAGTAGTATAAATTCCTGATTTCTATCGCTTCTTTGACCCTAAATCGAAACGCAGTTTAGCTTGTTATGCGAATAAAAAATAGTTGGATCGGCTTCGCTGGTCGAAGGTTCTAGCCGCACCCGATACGTCCTCTGCGACCGGAATCCGTGTGGAGAGAAGTCGGCGACGAATCCCGTCCCTGCGAGACGACGCGCCAACCGGCAGTCAGCCGGCGAAACCGTACATCGTAGGTTGTAACTACAAATAAATTTGAATATTAGGAATTAATGTGTGATTTGTTTTTGTATTTTATTTGAGTATTTTGCTAATTTTTATGAACTCAATTAATTGTTAATCTTTTCACTATAAATTGGTTTAAGTCTCAAATTCTATTGTGTTAAATTGTAAATTTAAAATGTCTAATTGATCTTTTATGCATATGTTATTTGATTTTTATGCCCTTCATAAATTAGGGTTTTCAATTCTTTACTAATTGCTATTATTGAGAATTAGATATCTGTGGTCAAAAGATTGAATCTTTATGTCTATGAGTAATTTCAATTATTAGATCTTGCACATGGGTTGGGACAATTTTGTCTATCTTGTGCCTTATGAGTAATATGTTTTCATATTATATGGTATCTTCCATTTATAAGCTCAAGCTCTTTAGCAATAAACCTAGTTAATAATCCATTCTTCCCTATGTGCATACTAAACAGCGAGTATATAGCTGATTAAAGCTTGCTTCATAACTCTATTGCTGCTAATGAGTCATCGTATGTGTTTAACTAGCTCTAAGCGTCGTATAAATCATCCTTTTGTGAGAATTACTGAATCTGTTGTTTGGACATGATGTATTAAGCTTTCATTATTAAAACTTTAAAAATAAATACTCCGTAGGTCTGAAGTCAAAATACCCATGGCTACCCATGGGGGAAGCCGCAGAAGCATGAAGGGTGCTGAATCCTCTAGATCCAGCCGCAGAGGCATTAAGGAAAGTGGATCCTCTAGATCCAGAGGCAGCAGCCATCATCGTCAAACTTCGGACTATATCAGTTCAGATTATGAGTCTCCTGCAATCACAGACTCGGATTCTACCAGCCGAGACTCATCTCCATCTAGATCCAATCGAGATGGCAGGCACCACAGTCGGAGAAGGCGACACAGATCGAAGGAATCCAGTGATTCTGAGATGGAGGGAGATGGGCGGAGGAAGAGTAAGAAGAGGAAAATTACGGATGAAGAGATTGCGGAGTACATGGCAAAGAAAGCTGAGAGAAAACTGAGAAAGGCGGCAAAAAAGCTGAATGCAAAACATAAGCTCTCTGGATACTCAAATGATTCAAATCCATTTGGAGATTCAAATCTAAACGAGAAATTCATCTGGGAGAAGAAAATCCACAGGGACATATCACGAGGCGTTCCTCTCGAGTCATTCTCACTCAAATCAGAAAAGGAAAGACAGAAAGAAAGAATTGCGGAAATTGAGAAGGTGAAGAAACGGAGAGAAGAACGCGAGATCGAAAAGGCTCAGCGTGAAGAAGAAATGGCTATGCTTGCAAGAGAGCGAGCTAGAGCCGAGTTTCAAGATTGGGAGAAAAAGGAAGAAGAATTCCACTTTGACCAGAGCAAAACCAGGACGAAGATTCGGATTCAACAAGGGCGAATCAAGCCAATTGATGTTCTTACCAAGCAACTTGATCCTTCGGATGATTTTGATATCGAAATCAATGAGCCGTACATGGTTTTCAAGGGTTTAACAATGAAGGAAATTGAAGAGCTTCAACAGGATATCAAGTTGCACCTTGATTTGGATAGGGCTACAGAAACACATACACAGTATTGGGAAGCACTTTTGGTGGTTTGCAATTGGGAATTGGCAGAGGCAAGGAAAAGGGACGCTATGGATCGAGCCAGATTGCGTGGAGAGCACTTGCCACCAGAATTTCAGGCTGAAGAAAGGGGTTTGCATCCCAGCATAGAAAAAGATGTGAAGGTCGAGTTGGAAGGAAAGAGGTATGAGGAGTTGGAAGCTATGCAGTCTCGGATTGAATCCGAGATGCGCTCTGGCACAGCGAAAAATGTGGAATATTGGGAAGCTCTTCTGAAGAGACTCCAAATTTTCAAGGCTAAGTCGTGCCTCAAAGAAATTCATGCAAAAATGCTGCGTAAACATCTAGAACATCTTGAAAAGCCATCACCTGAGAGAGAAGATGATGAAAAAGGCGGGGACATTATCAAGCCGGAAGAAGAAGAAGAAGAAGAAGCAGAAGCAGATTATCCAGTTGAAAATGCTGATCGAGCATTTTCTGCAGAGCCCATATTTGTTGAAGAAGATACCAAGGAAGAAGCAGAAGGAGATGATGATGATAGGTATGCTGGATCATATTCGCCTGTGTTAGTGCACGGTGACGAAAAGGAAGAAGCGATTGATCCTGAAGAAGACCGAGCCATGCTTGAAAAGAAGAGAATGTCAGTTTTGGAAGAACGTCGCCTGCAAGATATGATTCCAAAACCATCCCAACCCACAGATAACTTTGAAAAGAATGCATTGAAAGCCATGGGAGCAATGGAGGAAGGAGACACGGTGTTTGGCTCCAATGATGAAGTCAATGTTGATTCACAGGTATACTGGTGGCACGACAAGTACCGCCCTAGGAAGCCAAAGTACTTCAATCGCGTACATACCGGATATGAGTGGAACAAGTACAACCAGACTCATTATGACCATGACAATCCACCACCAAAGATTGTGCAGGGATATAAGTTCAATATATTCTACCCAGATCTTGTTGACAAGTCGAAAGCTCCGACTTTTGTAATAGACAAGGATGGAGATAGTGCGGACACGTGCATCATAAGATTTCATGCTGGCCCACCTTACGAGGACATAGCCTTCCGGATTGTTAACAGAGAATGGGAATACTCTCACAAGAAAGGGTTCAAATGCATATTCGACAGAGGGATTCTGCATCTCTATTTTAATTTCAAACGCCATAGATACCGTCGATGATGGAAATTTCCATTTTTTTGGGTGGTTTTCTGTTGAAGCACCATCTGTTATTTTAGCCGTTGCTTGATGCAGACCTTTCCAGATGGGGGGAATTTCGATCTTTTGGAGGTGCATTTTTCTGCTGAATTCTTGTTCAAGCACTGTATGTTACTTTTAGCCTTTGATTATTGATGCAAGGCCCTTTTTTTTTCTGGATATGTTTTTTTAATAGCTCACGTTTCTTCTTTGTGGTGATTTTGAATCTTGACACAGCAGCTTGGTTTTAGGTATCCCTGGGACATGTAGGCCATGTTCTACCTGATACGATGGTTTTGATTGGAAGTTGTTTTTTATTTGATCTGGTCTTATGTGAACTGAATCAAATAAGAAAAAGTAATCAGTAATAGGAATAAGTTGAAGAAAACATGATCATAGTCTTGATTATCCCGTTCCTCCAAATTACTTTAGACCAGATCAAAGCAGATGGTATATTTCTGATTAAAAAAAATTAGATAAGATCACGGCCAGGTCTTTGAAAAATCGAGGAGATCACGTTTTTCGAGTAAAGACAACCAGTTTGTTTTTCCTCTTGTTCCAACCAACTGGAATTGTGGAATACTGCCGTAGTTTATTGCTCATGTTTGGTATACAAGTACTGTGTGTGCAAACGATGAGTTCTATTTATAAAGTGAAAGCTTATGCACATCTCATACACTCCCGTCTCAAAATGAATTACTCCTCGGTCAACGCGCAAAATCTTATTATTTTTAAAATAATTTTGATTCACAAATTAGCATAGAAATATAAAATAAAAATAAGAGATGATAAAAATATTTTATTTTATCAATTAATCAATAAAAACATGTAAATAAGCAAAAGTTATTGATAGATTGTAGTAGTAAGTGGTAAATCATTTTAACATAGAGGGAGTTTTTTAATCCATATTATCTTAAATCTAATTCGGAATACCCTCGATTTTCTAGTATGAGCTTGCAACTCCCTCATTATTCGAAATGTCCCTTCGGGGACATCCGATAAAATTGGAACGATACAGAGAAGATTAGCATGGCCCCTGCGCAAGGATGACACGCACAAATCGAGAAATGGTCCACATTATTCGAAATGCACTCTGAGGCCACATTCTGTTTATTTGGCCGTTAAGATTGAAAGTTCCATTACTTTGACAAATATTAAATTTTATCTTGATGATTACAGAGTATTATTTTATTAAATTTCAATAAAATCATTCAATTTGTTAAAGTAATGAATCTTTCAATTCTAACGCTTAAATGGACGAAATGTACTTTTGCAGCATAATATCACAAATTTTAAAGATTCTGGAGTATATTTTGGATAATATGGAACCTGAAAGTTTTACTAGAAAATCGAGAGTAACCTAGAGTATATTTTAGATAATGTAGGACCTATAAACTCTTGCCAAAAAATTAAAGGTTCCCAGAATAATTTTCTTGATACTGTAGTTCACCTTTCTCCTTGTTGCTAACCTAAGAGCATATACATTCTTTAATTAAAAATCCATTGATTCGGTCATTCTCTCTCATCCACATCACCTATCTTTAAATACTTTATTTTTAAAGCAGACACTCAGAACTCATTTCATCCATCCATTCTTTCAATTATTAATGAGTCCCACTTTTGTTTGTTCAAAAGGAAAAAAAAGTTTAGTTTTTTTTATAATTTAGGGTGGAACTGTTAAGAGTATGGATGTGCATTCCTAGCAGCCCGTTAGTCTTTAGCTCAGTTGTCCGTATGAAGTATGTACCCAACGACCTGTGGCCTGTTTAACACGATTGCTCGTCTGGAAGTCCATACCCAGCGGCTCGTGGTCATTTAGGTGTTGACGCTCAAAAAAAATCAAGGTGATGGGAGTCCATTTGCAAGTGGTCAACCGGTTAGATTCAAAATGGCTCGGTCGTCCACTTGAGGGAGAGTGTTAGGAGTATCCCACATCGAAAAATTGTGAGGAAAATAATCGATATATAAGTTCTTGAGTTGAACTAACTAATAGATTGAATTCAATCTTTTAATGTGGTTCAGCCCAGATGTCTTATTACCCAATACAGTTATCACTACCTCATCTTAAATTTTATCAGGAACTATTTGTCATCTGGTGTTTAAAGGTTTAAACATTTCACACTCTCTCCATCTAGCTAACACATCTTTCAGATTAGTTTAAATATTAGCATTCAGTCCTTCAAATGTTAAATAGCGGTAGAAATGTAGAATGGCACAAATGGAGGTGCTCAAAGAAAATTACGGAGTCCTATTAAATTGGAGCATGCCCACTACAACTTAAAGCAAGACGGTTACTCATACATTACAAAAATGGATTGTTTTTTATTACTCCCTCCGTCCGGAAATATTCTTCCCATTTTCCTTTTTGGTCCGTTCAGAAATATTCTTCTCATTTCTATACTTTTTAAGGATAAATATCAATAATAGCCTTCTATTTTATCACAAATCTACTTTTTTAATACTTTTTTAATAATAAAAGGATATTTAAAAGTTTATAGTATGTGCATTTTTGAAAATTTTGCATTTTTTTTACTATTCCTTAATAAGCGTGCCAAGTCAATACGGGAAGAATATTTCCGGACGGAGGGAGTACAAAATAACAAATTACATAAAAGGCATAAAATGATAGTCACACTACATATCATGCATACGAGATCATTGTGAAAATATTCTTTTCATTGAAGTATTGTTGGTGATCTTTTGTGTTTAATTCATTTAATCGGTAAAAGACCAGACATTTTTATGAATCACTTGTCCTTTTCCCGTTTTCGTTTATTAAAACAATATTTACGGATCGGATTATTATTAAATTTCATAATAAATTTTTGGAATAATTATTTGTGTGTTTCATGTATTTTTCTTTCTAAATAAGTTTTAACAACACAACGTCCGTTTTGTTATACTTTGTGAAAATCCAATCCTAAATATTAATGGGAACAAAAAAAACATTTTTCTTTCAGTTTATTAAATCGCGCTTTTACTCTACATGATTTTTAATGTAAGACGGAAAGTGGTTTAACTTTTTAAAATTTTTCTATTTTCATTATGATGAATTGGTTGTCAACAATCTCAAGCTTGGGTAGTCTTCCAAAAAAAGCAATACTCCATATATCAAGTTTCAAAATTACTACAAACGATCCAAAATTTACATCATTATTCTAAGAATAATTTGTACTCCAAATCCATTACTATTCAATTAACCTTTTGAAGTTATGATCCATTTGAATAATTTTGAACCGGAATTAGAAACCCAAAAATCTGTACACTAGAGATTGAACATGAATAACTTCGATTGAAAATCTTCAGTTGGCACATAACTCAATTTTTACATGCCAAAAAAAACAAGGTGATATGAAAGTGTGAAATCAATATAAAAATATTTTAGGAGAACGAATGTAGGTTTCCGTATTGAGCTTTCATCATAATATAGATCTTCATTCTTCTTGGTCTAATAATTGGTGAAAGTAATGCAGATGTTATGTTGAAAATGTTAAAGTTTGGCTTTCATCGTATGGTTGCATTCTTTAGATTCATGTAAAATTGATTTTTTCCCCTTAATATCACAAAGAGTAAATGTCTTGTGGTCGTGGTACTACTCTCATTAAGTATAGCATTATACGGAGTTGATCATTTGCAATTTGTACCCACTCCATGCTCTTACTTTGTTCATGCCATTTTGTTTTTATGTTTGAGCCAGAATCTCCTGGAAAGAGCTTTTTTATTCCCGAGTCGAGATAAAATATGCATACAATCTCCAAACCTTACTTTTCTGTGAAATTTTACTTGATTTGTTGTAGCAATTCAAAATCTAGGAATTTCATAAAATAATTTCTCAAGAAATTCTTTCAACTACTATGAAAATGAACCATTACGATTATTATTCATTTACAAAGCATATGGGATATGAATTGCTTGACATGCGTATGATCATGTGTCCTCTCCCCATATGCATGTATTGTCACGAGAAGGGGGTGTCTTTCGTTAACGGTTTCAAGGTGTGCGTCGAGAAGTTCCTTTGGCATGTCCAAGCAAGTGCTGTAGGTATATATGCCTTTACCTTTGACCATTTACAGGGTAATCCCAACGTGTAGTGTAGCCTTAACTACAGATGGGCAACTCTCACTTCAAAAAAATTCTGAAGTGTCTGAACCAGACATATAATAGTAAATATATATCGGGCATTTTTATTATTGCTCGTAATTTATGCCAATATATACCATCAATGTTATTGTCTTGCAAACTTTGCAGCAGCTCTTGCCTTGGCTATCTGTAGATCTTACACCAGTGTATACAAACACATTAAAAGTTACCAAAAATTGAAAACAAAGGATTACTAATGTATGGTTATAGGATTAGTTATAGGATCATTTACTCAATCCTTAGTTCAACTGCTGAGTTTGGGCTGAAGTCTGCGGCTTCATGTAGACGTGGGGGTGTTGAATTACAACTAGAACTGAATCTGGGAAGCTTCCCTTTTTAGAACAAGTTGGCTACAAGTTTTAAAAAATTTGGAATACAGTGAATTGTTAAATACGATGACTGTAGATATTATCAAGGGTATCATAAATTATGGTAAAAGGTGAAAAAAAGAAGATAGTTTTAGTACTCGGTAATTAAAAAAACTCCAATATTTGTCATAATTGGGCGAGTTTGGAGGTTAAAATTACTCACCACACCGATGTGCCACTCGTGGGCACTGAAGTCTCTGAAAGTTGCTGCATCCATTTCCTGCCAACATACTAATGGTTTAAGCAAAATCTCTGAAGTTCTGATATTTACCCTTAGTTTCCTTGTTTTTATACCAATGGGTAGAGATAAAACAGACAGAGGGAAGTATGCAATATGACATTACCACTCAATGAAACTTCGGATATTGGATGAAACTTACAATGCTGTATATGAGAGGAAACGTTCTCTGGCCTTTATGTTTTACAGCAGGCATAATAGAGAAACTCGGCACCATATCTTTCGACCGGAAAGTCCACCTGAGACAAATATTAGCAATAAATCACTTTAAGCACATAATAACACAATGCTTTCAGTTTTTATACATTAGAAATTTCTCTGGCTTGATCATGACGGGGATGCTGCTGTGGATTTGTGGTTGTACTTTTTATAATAAAATGCGGTATTTTGTTTTGAGCTTCGGGTAGTGCCTGTAGACTGATAGTTTCTCTACGTTTGCCACTGAGGCACAATGAAACTAATGAGGAGAGGCAGGTCACGCAAGACATGAGATGATCAGTTAAGGTTGAACATTCGCGTCTAAAACCTCTCTAGCGACATGATGCAGACTTAACTTTTTTACTCTATCGTTACATTTTCCCTTTAGTGCTTGTAAGTGGGTGATGAGGTGGATTCCTATATAATACCTACCCGTGTAGCTTTGTTGAGACAATTAATGAGATATTTCCTACATTCCTCACTTCTCTCTTCTCTCGATAGACTCTCTCTCTCCCCCATTTCTGTTACAGAGCCTTGAAGCTCTCTTCTTCTTCTTGGAGAGCTTCCCCGCCCGTAACAATGGTATCGGAGCTTTCGTTCTGGGTCAAGGATTGTGGAGCGCTGAAGGAAGTCGATTCAGATGGCGTCCCTTGAAGAAGCCCTAAAAGTATTGATCAATCAGCAAAGGTCAATGACGCTCCAAATGTCGGAACAAAACAAAAGGATTGATGATCAACAACAATTGTTCGGCCAGATATTGAAGCAAATGAGGATGATCATCAATGGAGCATCATCAGAGAAAGATCACGACCGTGTGAGGCAATTGGATAGAGGTAATCTCAGACAACTCAATTTCAACTTCAATTCACCTCTACAAATTCCCCAATTTGATGGAACTGATGTTCAAATCTGGATTAAGAAGTGTGTTAAATACTCTGAGTTGAACCAAACTTTGGATGTAGAAAAAGTGGATGTAGCTTTGAGGTATATGATTGGGATGGCTGGAGTTTTATTTAATAGGTATGCTGTAGGCAGGCCTAACATCTGTTGGGAAGAGTTTGTGATAGATTTGAGCACTAAATCCAGAGATGAACTAGGTCCTTGGTCAGTTGAGGAGTCCAGCATATTAGAACAAATAGGGAGTTGAGAGGATAGTGGTGACAGATCTGAAGAGCTAAAGGGTATTATGATGCTGAAGAGTCCAATATTACCAGTTAATCATGTTTTGGACAGTATTGTAGAAAGATCTTACAAAATCCAAAACATGGGTAGCACAACTCAGTGTCAACCTATGTCTCAACAAAAACCAAGGTTCAGGGCTAATGCAGTGTGGGCTGAAAAGATTGGTAAGGAATGGAATTACTACTATGATATGATCTATAAAAAACGTCCCCAGTGTGAGCACAAGGAAGTTCAGTTGCCTCGGGAAAAAGTCATTGGTAGGGATGATAAAGTTCATGCTTCAACTAAGGCAACACTGCTATCAGTTGTCTCAGCAGTGCACCTCCCAAGTAAGACCCCTGATGATGTGGCTAAGGGAGGCAAACAAGAAAATTTAGAGGAAAAGACTTCTGATGACTCTAAATGAGTTACCAAGCCTGTTAGTTTACCAGTGGAGAACCAACCTAGGTTCATACCAGCTTCAGTAAGGCCTAAAAGGATGGAGGAGTTATGCTATTGTTTTGATGAGTCTTTTGCTAAGGGGGAAGGAATGATGCAGGCCTTTGGACTGTTCTAATACTACATACTAACTATTTTACTATGTTTACCCTTCTCTGTTTACTGCCCTATATTTTACTTTACCTACTTGTAAGTATTGGTGTGTAGCCTTTATATACAGATCTTCCGAGTGGAAATGACAACCAATTTACAATCCCAATTTCTTTCTCATCTAACTTTCTCTCTACCTTAACTTTCTATTATACAACTCCTCGAGATTCTCTTCTCCTTCGCGAGTAGTCTCCACGAGCTGTATCATTGGTATCTTTTGAGAAGGGTCATGAATGCCTGGGGAAAGAAACCCCACTATTTCTAGAAGAAGGAAAATTCTCAAATATGGACCATGGACAGATATTACAAGGCATTAGGCAGCAAGTTCAAGTTCCAGTGACTATTTCCACTTGGAACACTGAGGAATGTGGGTTGCAGGTTGCAGTACCACTACCAGATTCCCCATTGATTCAAGGGAAATTGCAAGAATGTGATGAATTATTAAGCAAACGAAGTAAATGTGCATTTGGAGTGTTAAAATTGGGGTACTTGAGTCATTGCATTTCAAGACAGGTGGGATCTCTTGATTCCACCAAGATGGAAATGGAGTTTACATGCAAAAGTAGTAGTCAAGTTCTAAGGAATATGAGACATGAGGTGGCAGTAACACAAGTATCACCGCCAGTGATACAAGGACTGTTGGAGGTACCTACTGATTCTAGCAAGATAGGAGCTGAAAATAGTTGGACAACCCCCACCCATGGGAAGGAGATAAGGGCAGTAGCTGTGGTGTTTGTTGGGGAGTGGTATACTCATTTTATGACACTAACTCACTCTTATACCGCTGTGGAGGTCGCTCAAGGATACTTTGCAATGCATGTGGTGGACGGGCTAATGTTTCTTTCTTATCACCCCCAACTGAAGAGACTTACTGGAGTGATCAGCAAGGGTTTGGAAACCTACCTCAGGTGCAGGAGCTTCCACAATCCAAAACTGTGTTTAGCCAAACCCTTACAACAGAGGGAGACAATGGTCAGACTAATAAGATTTTAGTGGCAAGGAGATCAGAATAGGAGGCAACACCTAGCCATCACCACCCAACGGAGATCTGACAAGGTGTTGGCTTCGGAAGATTAGATATGGCCTGAGCTGCAGCCTTACTGGCAGACCAATGTGCCACAAAGTACTATTAAGAAGTGTACTGAGCTAGTGGCAGTGGTATATGTTGAAGTTTGGAAAGATATCTTTTGATTCCAGCAAGATGGAAACTGTGAAGGAATGGCCAACCCTCATCAATGAAGAGTTATTGGCATTGTCAATGGCTGGGCAGAGGTGGGAACAATACTTAATCCCTCTACCACTTACCATCAAAACTGATCAAATGAGTTCCATAAGGTTAAACAACAACAACAACCCATTTAAATCCCACAAGAATAGGGTCTGGGGAGGGTGTGTGTACGCAGACCTTACCCCTACTCGAAAGTAGAGAGGCTGTTTCCAAAGAGACCCCCGGCTCAACGTCGAAAGTTGCATTGCTTGACTAACTGCTACTTCATTAATTAAAGAAGCGCAGACAGTTTAGAGATCCATTTTGATTTATTCCATCCATTTTGATTTATTCCATAAGGTTAATAGAACGCAAAGTGACAATGCATTGCCTACACTTTTGGCTAGCTAAGCTAATGAGCTATACTTATGGGGTTCACTACAAACAAGAAAAGGAAGAGGGGCAAGGTCAATTGAGGAGAAGCTCTTCTCTGTTGGATGATAATCAAAGGAAGTCGGTCTCTTGGCCCTAAGCTGCAGGAGTAAAGTCAGAAGCTTCAGCTATTACATGCTAAGGTTTGGATTTGCAGAGAGGTCTTTAGGGGCTTCATAAGGGGGCTACAAAAATATCAGGTGATTCCAATAACCATCATTCACTGGGAGCTATTGGGAAGAAATCACAAACAGTTGCTGGTTAAGAGAATTCGGAATCCAGGTATCTTAGCCATTCCTAAGCCCTTTCTAAAGAGGGTACACTAGAAACAACCAGCACAAACTAAATGGGTCAAAAAGTGTTTGGAAACCTACCTCAAATGCATATGCTTCCAATCTCCAAAGCCTTACTTGTCTGGAGAGACTACTGTGGAGGTAGTAAATAGGCCCTTACAGCAGAGAGAGGCTATAGTTATGTTTGAACGGTTGAAGTGGCAGTTACAAAGGGCACAAAACCAAATGCAGCAGCTAGCCAGTCAACTTAGGTCTAATGGTCCAATAAAAGCGGGGGGGGGGGGGGGGGGGGGGG